GTGTTTTGTTTTTCTAGAACACTGAGCCAAAAAACAGGAAATGATTGAATCTTGGTGTCAAAAACCAAATTTAAAAGAAAAAAGTATTTTACACATTTAGAAGATTTTTAAATGACAAGATCCATTTAAACATGAAGTCAGCAGAGCATTTCCTAGAATGGAATTATTTTATTTTTAGAAGTATTTGCAAAAAGCATGATCATCTATGTAAAAAAAAATCCTAAAATATCTACAGAAAAGCTATAATAATTAATTTTAACATGGTTGTAAGATACAAAAATCAATTTACAAAAACCAATTACTTTTTTAATATATTAGCAACCAACAATTGGTAATTAAAATTTAAAAATACAACATTTAGAATAGAACCCAAATTATGAAGTAGTAAGTGTTAAATTTAACAAGATATGTCATGAGACCTGTATGGTGAAAACTACAAAACATCTTTGAGAGAAATTAAATAAAACCTAAAGAAATGGAGAAATATACCATGTTGATGGATCAGAAAACTTGATATTTTAAGATGTCAGTTTCCCCCATTAACCTACAGATTTAATGCAGTCCGTAGTTCAAACTGATTCTAAAAATATACAAATGAAATAGAACTAACATAGGCTAGTTTTAAGACTTTTTACAGAGATGAAGTAGTCAAAACACTTTGATATTGGCATAAAGATAGACATGCAGATCAATGAGACAGACCAGATAGTTTAGAGATAGACCCACAGATTTATGGTCAATTGTTTTTTGACAAAGTTGTTCAGGTAATTCAATGAGGAAATGACAGTCTTTTCAACATATGGTTCTGGAACAACTGGTGAATTGTGACCCTCACCCCACTCCATGAAAGCAAATATTTAAAAATAGATCTAGACCTAAATGCAAAAGCTAAATTTTAAAAACTTCTAAATGAAAACATAGGAGAAAATATCTGTGACCTTGACCTTTGCAATTTTTGCCTACATAGAACACAAAAAGTACACGAACCATAAAAGGAAAAGATTAATAAATTGAGCTATTTACTTTTTAAAAGTAAATAGCTTCTGCAGTTCAATAGTCAGTATTAAGGAAACAAAAAGGCAAGCCACAGACTGGAAAAAAAAATATTCGCAATACTTATATCTGACAATGGACTTGCATTCAGAATACACAGAGAACTCTTACATTCCAATAATAAGACCAACCATGTTTGTTTGTTTTTGTTTTTGTTTCCTGAGACAGGGTCTCCCTTTCTGTCCCAGGCTGAAGTGCAGTGGCACAAACATGGCACTCATGCAGTCCTTTCTCCTCAGTCTCCTGAGTAGCCGGGACTACAGGTGCACACCACCACACCTGGCCATTTTAAAAATTTTTTGTAGAGATGGAGTCTCACCATATTGCCCAGGCTGTTCTCAGCCTCCTGGGCTCAAGCAGTCCTGCCTTGGCCTCCCGAAGTGCTGGGATTATAGGCATGAGGTACCACATCCTACAAGTTTTTTTTTTTAAGCCTAAATATTTTAACACATTTCACAAAAGATAAAATATAAAAGGCCAAAAGGCCCAAATGATTCTGTCATTAATCATCAGAGAAATGCGAAAACTAAAATCACAATGAAATACCCTATGGCACCATAAAAATGGCTAAAATTAAAGACTCACTATACGAATTGTTGACAAGAATGTGGTTTTATACATCGCCAGTGGGAATATAAAATGACACAACCACTTTGGAAGATGGTTTGGCAATTTCATATAAAGTTAACTGACAATTAACATACAATTTAGCCATTTCATCACCCTTTATCCAAGAGAAAGGAAAACATGTCCACACAAAAACTTGTACATTAATGTTTAGGGCAGGAAGCCCAAACCAAAGACTACCCAAATGTCCATCAACAGATGACAGGATTAACAAAGTGGAGACTATCCCCAGGATGGCATAATACACAGCCGTAGATGAAGATGCATTACGGATAGTGCCACAGTATGCATGGTTTTCACGAAGTTATTCTGAGTGAAAGAAGCCAAACTCAAAGGAGTACATACTTTATTATTACATTATATGAAGCTTTAGAAAAGACAAATCTAATGTTTATGGATAGAAAGCACATCAGTATTTGTCTGTGGTTGTGTGTGGGACCTGGATTGATCATACTGGGGCAAAAGGTAGCTTTTGAGGGTGATAAAAATATTGTATATTTTCACTGTGGTGGTGGTGGTGGTGGTGGTTACTCAGATGTATAAACTTAGCAAAAGCTCATCAAGATGTACTTTGTGAATTTTATCACATCAATGAAGATGATTGTTAAAAATGGGCATGTTTGAAATTTCAACACCATTTAAATGGGTGCAATTGAAGTCTCATTCTCTTCCCTATTACTTGTAATCTGTTCCCACTAACTCCTGTAGGTACCCAATTTCATTAGTTTCTTGATTGTTTTTTTCTCTGTTTGTTTTTGATGGAAGTATATGTGCATAGATACATATTGTTCCAGATATTTCACAAATTAAACATAGCATACTATGCATAAATTTTTGAAACTTGCTATTTTCTTTTTTATATTTAAATCAACCCATTTACCATTTTTAATTTTAATTTATTTTACTGTATATATTTAAGTGTACAACAAGTTTTGATATACAGAGCAAAATGGTTACTATAATCAGACAAATTTACATATCCATCACCTTCCGTAGTTACTTCTCTTCAGTATGTGTGTGGTAAAAGCACCCTACTCTCTTAGCAAAATTTCAGTATACATTATTCAAGATAGTCTTCATGTCATCCATAGTTATCTAGGCTTATTCATTCTACCTAAGTGAAAATTTCCACCCTTTGACGTACTCCTCCCTGTTTCCTCCCCTCCTCATCCCTAGTAACCACCATTGTTTTATTCTCTTTTCCTATTTATTTGACTTTTTTTGTTTTTTTGTTTTTGTTTTTGTTTTTGTTTGAGACGGAGTCTCGCTCTGTCACCCAGGCTGGAGTGCAATGGCGTGATCTCGGCTCACTGCAACCTCCACCTCCCGGGTTCAACCAATTCTCCTGCCTCAGCCTCCTGAATAGCTGGGATTATAGGCACCCGCCATCATGTCCAGCTAATTTTTGTATTTTTGTAGAGACAGGGCTTCACCAGGATTTATTTTTTTAAATAACTTTTGTTTCACTTCAGAAGAGGGTAAGGAAGAGAAGTAAAATCCAACTCATTTTTTCAATATATGAAAGAATTATTTAGCCCCTACTGTATATAAATCATGGCTGTTGGAACTAATAGACAGATGCCTCCCAGGGTGCCCCCTGGCTAAGCACTGCGCAAGACCTCATGTAGTCTCATTGTTCAGATGAAGTTCTAATAACTCAGTGTCTGAATCTCAGCTTTGCAGGTTTAATTTCTCTCATCTTGTCAGTAGACTCGTGTAGAAATCCTAAAGCTGATGTATTCACTTAGAGCACAGTAGCCCACCTCTTCACTGATTTTACTCTTAAAAAAAAAATAATTGCATGAAATCTGTAAAGAAGGCCAGGTGTCATGGCTCATGCCTATAATCCCAGCACTTTGGGAGGCCAAGGCAGGAGGATTGCTTGAGCCCAGGAGTTCAAGACCAATCTGAGCAACATAGTGAGCCCCTCTCTCCATTAAATTAAAAAATCAAAAATAAAAGAGAAAAAAATGTATAAACAGAACTCTAATTATGAGAACTAAAACACATTTTTCATTAAATTTTGCATACATGTGTAAAGTACTACAATTAAAAATGAATTTAAAAAAAATTTTAGAGTCACCAAATTAAATACAGACTATCCAAAATGTTGCTTGAATAAAATAAATAAATGTTACAAATCTAGAATATTCTGGTTGGCCTAGCCAGTGACTTCTTTCTCTCATTAGGCAGGTGATCATGGAAAGCAATATTATAATCACAGAGTTGTTTGGTAAGCCTCAAAACAGAGCAAGAAAAGATAGTTGAATGATGGTAATGATAGTTGTTTATGGAGTTAGAGACTCATCTGCCAATTAGTATGCCGGTAGCTGTATCTTTAGTAAAGGTTTATACTTGCTAAGACGACCATAGCTTTCCCATCAGTAGAGCTCTGCCAGCCATAGAGAGTACAGCACGAATACTGCAAATTTGTTGTCTACCTGACCCCTATATTTTGGTGTTATCTTACAGCTGCATCCTGTTATACAATTGCCATAGCTTTACCTAACAAAAGTGACAGAACCAACTCTGGAATCTCAAGCTAGAGAGGCCACTCTACTCCTTAACCCCACCTTATCCAGTGTTCCATCTCATTTCGGATCTATGGGCATCTTGAGGACTTCTAGGGCTGGGTTACCCACAGACAGTAAACAGATGGTGCTGAGCAAAACCTTATAGCATGGATGTGCATCACTCCCGTTGGGCAGGCAGTGAACAAGTGGAGTTCTAGATGCAGACAGTAAAGTCCTCTTGGGCTCCAGTAACCAGAAGTTCCCACTAGAGTTGAGGCCAGTCAGTTCCCCTACCCCACCTTTTGAGGTAATAATGATTCTTCACTAGCACTACTGACTTGGCCTTCCAGACTTTGTTTGTAGGAAATTAGCAGCAATTTCCTGCAATTTATAAATAAGACGCCTTATAAGGAAAAAAAAAAAAACAAACCATGATTTCCCATTCTTTTTTTTTATATATGTATTGCTTAGAGGGCTGAAATAACCATAAACTTAAATCTGGAATATTTAAGACATGGTATTGGGTAAACACAGCAGGACTCCCTTTGCAATTTCCATTGGAGAATTTGTGCTCTAAGAATGAGCAGAGCAGAATTAACACTGAGTCCCTCTGCCACCCCTCCAACAAGTCTCCATACCCATGAGGTCAGATCTGTCCATTTTGTTCTCCCAACTTTCCCCTAAGAATTCAAAATAACAATATTAGCAAAGTTAACATATCTATAGCACTCACTGTATGTTGTCCACTGTTCTAACAGCTTTGTACAGAACTGTACCTCTAATAAAGAATGCATGTGTCTTTTGCAGTTGTGAAGATGACCTCTCCGAGGACAGAGAGGAGCTTCTGCATGGGATTTCAGAGCTGGACATCAGCAACTCGGATTGTTTCCCATCCCAGCTGCTAGTGCATGGGGCTTTAGCCTTTCCTCTAGGGTTAGATTCCTACCATGGCTGTGTTATAGCGGCTGCCCGCTATGGCCGGGGCCGGGTGGTTGTGACTGGCCATAAGGTATTATTCACTGTTGGTAAACTGGGCCCCTTTCTGCTCAATGCCGTCCGCTGGCTGGATGGGGGCCGCAGAGGCAAGATCGTGGTGCAGACAGAGCTGAGAACCCTGAGTGGCCTCCTCGCAGTGGGGGGCATAGACACCAGCATCGAGCCCAATCTGACCAGTGATGCAAGTGTCTATTGCTTTGAACCCGTGAGCGAAGTGGGGGTCAAAGAACTGCAGGAGTTTGTAGCAGAGGGTGGCGGGCTGTTTGTTGGAGCCCAAGCCTGGTGGTGGGCCTTCAAGAACCCCGGAGTGTCCCCTTTGGCTCGATTCCCAGGAAACCTCCTCCTCAACCCCTTTGGCATCAGCATTACAAGCCAAAGCCTCAATCCAGGGCCCTTTCGTACTCCTAAAGCAGGAATAAGGACCTATCACTTCCGCTCCACCTTGGCCGAGTTCCAGGTTATAATGGGCAGGAAGAGAGGAAATGTGGAAAAGGGCTGGTTGGCAAAGCTGGGACCAGATGGTGCAGCTTTCCTGCAGATTCCCGCAGAAGAGATCCCTGCCTACATGTCTGTGCATCGACTCCTGAGGAAGCTGCTAAGTCGATACCGGCTCCCAGTAGCAACCCGAGAGAACCCTGTTATCAATGACTGCTGCAGGGGTGCTATGCTTTCCCTGGCCACAGGGCTGGCCCACTCCGGAAGTGACCTGTCTCTGTTAGTCCCAGAAATTGAAGATATGTACAGCAGCACCTATCTGCGCCCCTCAGAATCTCCTATCACCGTCGAGGTCAACTGCACCAATCCAGGTAAGGAACAAGGGTTGGGAGCTCAGTATTATGGGAACGGAGGAATGGGGACAGGCTGAAGTCAGCAGTCCATTTCAGGGACCCGATCATGTCCAGAGGGTGGTCTCCATTTTTTACTATGAACTTTGAAGAAGATAAGGGTTGGGATTTTAAGTACTGTTTGGAAGAGTTGAGTCGGGGCAGCATGAAGGGGAAGATATGTGCTTATGAGGGGTCTCTGGTGACGCTGGGTGGAGATGGCATCATGGAGGAGGGATAAAGTCTGCCTACCCCTCCTGCTTTTGGCAGGCACCAGATATTGCTGGATGAGTACTGGGCTCTACATACCTGGAAGGCAAATTATAGAAGTCTCACTGCCTGAAGCTGCTGCCTCTGCCGACCTGAAGGTAAGGCCATGCCCCACCTCACCATGTGACATGCAACCCAAAGGCTTTTCCTAGCACAGTCAGTATCTTATTTGATTCTCACAAAGCCCTGTTGGTAATACAGAGCAGGTGATTTTACCCTTGTTTTAAGGATGAAGTAACTAAGGTGCAGAAAAGCTGATTGATTGATTGAAATGTATAGAGCTAATACAAATAAGTGCCCAGGACTCATACCTAACTAATTTCTGGCTCTTAAGTTTTGTGCTTTTGACTTACATCCTAGAGTAGGGAATAAGAGATATGAAATGGAAGGTAACCTCGCACAGAGTAGGCATTCAGTAAATCTGAGTTCACTGTTCATCTCCGTATCCATTCCCATGGTAGCACAAGGTCTTTCTGACTTTGGCTTCTTCCCCGTGACACCCAAGACCATTCCTCAATTGCCCAGTTCACCTTCCCTCTGTCAGTTTCACGTAGAGATACACCCCATTTGCAAAATGAGCTTGCTGTCCTTCCCTATCCCCCTTGAGGGTCACTGTGATGGTTAGCATCTATTCTGTGCCTGTGCCTATCCTGGAACTTGGTGAGCATAAACCCAGGGAAAAGAATCCTAGGACTCTGCCAAGTACCTGCCCAGGAAGAGAGCTTGGAGAAAGGGGAGAAACTGAATCAACCCTCCACTATCTTAGCCAGATTACACCGCCTCCCACTGGGCCCTCTCTCTGATCAGCAAAAGGCAGGGTTCCCTCTGCCCCATTCCAAATGCCGGAATCACCACCATGAGATAGGCGACCGAGTGTTCTATTTGTTAGCAACACCAGAGGACTGGGCATGGGAGTCAGCCCTCCTCAGAATTGGCCTTATAGGTTACACCTGGCACTCCTCACATTAATATCTATCTAACATGACCCATTATGGAGCTGTTTGAATGCCTTGGGAAAATATTTATACATTCTTCAGTCCATATGCCCCAAGGAATGCTACAGTTTCGCGGGGGTATCACACATGGTTCATCAGTGGTGGGAAGGCTGGGCTCGCGTGGGGTCATGGCTGAATGACCCATCCTGAGTCCCTTGCTGGGCTCTCTTCTTCCACCCATTCGTGTCCCATGGTGACTCTGTGGGGGGAATCTCTCTGCTCCAGATACAAATTGGCTGCCACACAGATGACCTGACCAGGGCCAGCAAGCTTTTCCGAGGCCCACTCGTAATTAACCGGTGCTGCTTGGACAAACCTACAAAATCGATCACGTGCCTCTGGGGTGGACTCCTCTATATAATTGTGCCTCAGAACAGCAAACTGGGTTCTGTGCCCATCACCGTGAAGGGGGCTGTGCATGCTCCATACTACAAGCTGGGTGAGTGGAAGCCCTGGGTGCTCCCGAGGGAAGGGGAAGAACTGGGATGACTCCAGAGAGCGTGGGAGTCCAGGAGGTGACTAGAGCCTGTTTGATGCACAAGGAGAGAGACACGGACTAATACAGGAAGGAGGGTCAGCTTCCTTAGATATGGCTTTGGGGTTGTACAGATAAAGACCAAACCACATCCTTGGGGACTTCGTAGAAAAAGCATAGAGAAAAGGGATATGGCCTCAGCAAACTAATGCAGGAACAGAAAACCAAACATGACGTGTTCTCACTTATAAGTGGGAGCTGAACAATGAGAACACATGGACACAGGGAGGGTAACAACACACATTGGGGCCTGTCAGTGGGGTGGGTAGCGGGGCAGATGGAGGGAAAGCATCAGGATAAATAGCTAATGCATGCTGGGCTTAATACCTAGGTGATGGGTTGATAGGTGCAGCAAACCACCATCACACACTTTTACCTATGGAACAAACCTGCATGTCCTGCACACGTATCCTGGAACTTTAAATTAATTTTTTTCAAAAAGAGGAGGGATGTGGCAGTTCATGATTTTGATGTTCTCTTCCTGGAGTCCAAGCTGTATGTTGTAATTTGTGGGATTTGGGAAAGGATTTCAAGCTCCATGATCTCTCTTCCTAGGGGAGACCACCCTGGAGGAGTGGAAGAGGCGTATCCAGGAGAATCCAGGGCCCTGGGGAGAGCTGGCCACGGACAACATCATTCTGACCGTGCCGACCGCAAATCTTCGTACTCTGGAGAACCCTGAGCCGCTGCTCCGCCTCTGGGACGAGGTGATGCAGGCTGTGGCGCGACTGGGAGCTGAGCCCTTCCCTTTGCGCCTGCCTCAGAGGATTGTTGCCGACGTGCAGATCTCAGTGGGTGGGTGCTCCAAGCAAACCCTCTGTGCATGCTGCCTCCGAGCGCCTTCCTGTGCTTCATCAGCCATGCAGTAGGCAGCCATTAGGGGAAACATATTTTGCTAGCAAGACATATAGATGTATCCTTGCTATTTAAATGGGAAGGAAATATATATATAATAGTTTATGTCAGCATGTCAAGGACATCAAGAAATGCCACCTGAGCTTTCACAGGCATTCATCGGGGACTTCAAGCTGGTGAAAATGGCAGAGGGCCTTGACCTAGGTCAGAATTGTTGGCTTGGAACAGGGATATTTTACAACTTTATGAACACACTGAATAAAGTGATCTTTGCCTATGGTCAAGGAACATGAAAAATGAGGGAAATATACAGACATTAAAGAAACATGGGAATTTCTCTGGACCCTCATTTTCTTCTCTTATACAGATGTTCACTGTAAACTTGTGTTGATGTGGCAACTCCATATCTGAACAGTGAGAGAGGAGCTACCTTAAAGAGCTCTGAATTTTGAGAAAAGGTTATAGTGACACAGGTTCACATGGATAAGGCATCCTCATCAAAATAGAAAAATTGAATGGTAACATGAATGGCTCCTTATCTCTAAGCTGCGTCTCCTTCCATAGTCACACTATTTTGTGTCAGAGTGAAGATGAAGGAATTCTTACAGAATGAGAAGAGGAGAAGGAACACCTAGCAGGGTCTTGGTTTGGGCTGCTTTTCTGAGCATTATGGTGTGCTGGAATTTGGCTGGGGTTACTGTTTTCAAACAGACACAATACACAGAAGAATGTTACCAGTTAAATGGGGAGGACCCTAACTCTCTCTTCCCTCCTGCATTTTCCAGGCTGGATGCATGCAGGGTACCCCATCATGTGCCATCTGGAGTCAGTGCAGGAGCTCATCAACGAGAAGCTCATCAGAACCAAGGGGCTGTGGGGCCCCGTCCACGAGCTGGGCCGCAACCAGCAGCGGCAGGAGTGGGAGTTCCCACCACACACCACGGAGGCCACCTGCAACCTGTGGTGTGTGTATGTGCATGAGACGGTCTTGGGCATTCCTCGAAGCCGTGCCAATATTGCTCTGTGGCCCCCAGTTCGGGAGAAAAGAGTCAGAATCTACCTGAGCAAGGGTCCCAATGTGAAAAACTGGAATGCATGGACCGCACTGGAAACGTATTTACAGGTACTGGGCAACAACGGCAGGTGACGGGGGACCCCTACTGCGGGGACCATCTGGGGAACTGTCAGATAATGTTCTAGTGGCCCAGAAGACCTCCCATGGCCCCTGTCTCACACACCAGGATATGGGGGCCCTGACAAAGTCCAACTGTGACAGTCGTATTGATGATGTCTCTCCGTGTATCGCTTTGCATGACCCTCAAGTGGATTTAATTGCCTGAGCCTCACCTTCCACCCCATAGAGCTACATGATAGTAAACAGAAAGCACTGAGAAAGGTTAAAAATGGTAGAGGCAAATAAAGTACTATACATGTACTCACTGTCTCCGGCTTTAAAGCCAGACATACCTGAGACTGAAGCCAAACTCTCCTACTTAATAGCTATCTAAAACCAGTCTCCCCTCCCCCATACACGTAATCCATAGGCTATGACTTACGTTTTTTTCTTAGATGAATGTACCATCTTCTCATTATGCCTTGGCCATGCCTCAGAGTCCCCGTTATGTAGGCAGTCCAAGAGTCCTCACTGACCTGGACAAGGAGGTGGCCTTGCCTTTGACCAGTTGTTTAATGCCCAGTTCCCTCCCTGCAATGCCTGGATCAGTTCCTGGCATGAAACTGGAGAATTTCATCACCTTGAATTTCAGAACTCAGTCTCAGGCCAAGCATGCTCTATTCTGGTTCTTCCACCTGCTGGAGGCTCTCTTATTCATTCCCACTGCCATGAGAATTATGGGAAACAGCCAGGGAGGCTCCACTTCAACCTTGTTATGGCTGCTTTGCCCCAGGAACACCAAGTTTCTCACTGGTGAAATAAATGTGAAGTTGGTCTGGAGAACTGCTCAAGTGCTTCATAATTCCAGCTCCGTAACTCAACAGCCTCAGGATGGCTGCCTTTTTCAAAAATTACAACTCACTCTTAATTCTAGTTACCCAGACAATCTGTAGTCTTCTACTTCTATCCAACTCACTTTTTTCCCCAAAGGCCATTTTAATAGCCTTGCACATTGACAAAGATCTATGATTAATGAGGATTTCTTTGTGCCAGGATGAGGTGGAAGTTTCCCTATTATTGAGGTTTCACTTTTCAACTCTTGAGAGATAAGAGGATTTTTCCAATTCTGCCAATTTTAAATCCTTGTGTAATATCGTATCTCCATTTGCATGATCTAGTGGGATATATGGATAATGACAGTGGTAGAAAATATTGATATTAAGCATTGCAGTTATTACCATGGCCCTCACTGATTGAGTGTTCACTTGGTGTTGAGCACCGTGCTGGTCCCAAGGCCCTTCCTAAGATTAGAATGTGGGAGAGCAGGGCATGAGGCCAGTAGGCAAAATGGAGGAGAGCAGGTCGGTGATAGACGTGAAGCTGATGGGTAAGGGGTTACATACACTAAGTTCACTTATTATAGTGGTTCTTGTTGGACCCTCTTTTATTTCTCAATCTCACCTGTATTTTTCTTTCTCTTTCCAGCTACAGGAAGCCTTTGGTTGGGAGCCATTCATCCGTCTCTTCACCGAGTACAGGAACCAGACCAACTTACCCACAGATAATGTTGACAAAATGAATCTGTGGGTCAAGATGTTCTCCCACCAAGTGCAGAAGAACCTGGCTCCGTTCTTTGAGGCCTGGGCCTGGCCCATCCAGAAGGAAGTGGCTACCAGCCTGGCCTATCTGCCTGAATGGAAGGAAAATATTATGAAATTGTACCTCCTCACACAGATGTAAGGAGTGCCCATCGAGGTGGCAGGTAGAGAGGTTTGGGGAGGTAGGCAGAGGTGGGGATTCATTCCTCTACCTCTGCCTCCCAGGGTCTGGCCTTGTCCTCTTAGTTCATTGCCCTATACCTTATTACCGACTTCTGTCTCTAGGAAGTGGGTTCAGAACACAGCCAAAAGTGGAATCAGAATTTCTCAGGTGCAAGGGCTTCTGTTTCTGCATCTTATTCCTCTGCTCTCAGCTGCCACATTCCCTCCTAACCCTGTACTGGCCCAGTTCCGAGAGCTTTGGCACCTGCTTCTATATCAGCCCTGATTCACCATCATAGGCCATAGCCCAGAGGGGGTAGTTCTCATGTTGACATCCTGAGGACTCCCTTTGGGCTTTTGTTTTTGATCAGTTGTTCCAAAAACTTGACCATAAAACTCAACTGGAACACAAATTTACCATGAGACCCAGACAGCTCCCGGATGGGCGCATATATTTTGTGACTTGAGCAGTTTTCAAAGTGCTAGACAAGCATTCTGGTATAGTGGGAAGAGCCCAGAACTAGGTAGGGTTAGCTCTTGGGAAAGTCATTTCAACTTGGTACTCTCATTTCCTGTGTGTAAAATGGGGATAAAAATTCCCAGTTCACAGGGTTGTCTGGAGGTTCAGACTGATAAATTCTGAAGAAGCTTGTGAGGTCTGCAGAGCATGTCATCTAAGGGGTTTTTCTATTTTATGCTGGTCCACAGGATAATGAGCTTACTATTTTCCATCCTCTCTCCAGAATTTAGAGGTTAGGATAACTCTTTCTACAAGTAGCTTGCCTATGTTCAAATTCTGGTTCTTTCACCCACGAATTGTATAACCCTGGCAATTTCCTTAACTTCACTGTGATTTAGTTTTCTCATCTTTAAAATAGTATCTATCTCATAGGATTATTGTGAAGATTACATTTTATAAGACCTCTAAAAAGCAATGGAACAGTCCCTGGCAGGTAGTAGGTGTTGAGAAAGTGTCTGCTGCCATTATTATTATCGAATTGACTGATCATTCTTTATGAGCTAGACTTGACTTTTAGATTATATTTACAGAGGCGGTTGTAGTTAATCCTAGCCCATGTTGCACTTTATACAGCAACCTCTGAAAGGATTCTGCTATGTTGCCTTATGAATCTAAAGGAAGAGCTCTAGAGAAGAGAGGAAAGGAAGAGAATTTAGAAATTCACAATAGGTTTTTTAAAAATAGCTAAAAATTTTAGTTTTTTTAACTTAGATTTGTAAAGCTATTTATAAGAACCCCATTGTGAATTTGGAGCTCTTCCTTGGATCTCCTTACCCAGTTCTATCTTACACATCCAATTCCTTCTTTGATTAAATCAAGACTAGATGTCTTGAAGAAACGAGATCAATTCCATAATGACATTTGGCCTTAACAAACAGAGTGTATCTGGTTTCGTGACAGTGTTTATATTTCTGTAACGCAGATTCAAGACACAGTCCCTGTCGAGTTACTCACCAGTTTGGCAGACAAAGTCCACACACATAGAGGACTTTACTCTGAAATAAGATAATTGGATAGAGTTCACCCAAACTTACTTCCTTTTAATTTTATTCAGAATCCCCTATTTCTTTATAGTTTTAACTAAAGTTGGCTCCTTTTGATTGATGTCATATACATCCAGCCAGTTTTTCTTTAGCTCACTGTTTATTTTAATTATTTTAATATATCATTTTATTTGCTTAATTGGTAATTGGGTAGATATGTAGACTGTAAGATTTGACCTATAGAGTTTTTTCTTTGGATTTTTTTTTTCTTGAGATGGAGTATCACTCTTGTCGCCCAGGCTGGAGTGCAATGGCATGGTCTCAGCTCACTGCAACCTCCACCTCCCAGGTTCAAGCGATTCTCCTGCCTCAACCTCCCGAGTGGCTGGGATGACAGGCGCCCACCACCACACCCAGCTAATTTTTTTGTATTTTTAGCAGAGATGGGGTTTCGCCGTGTTGGCCAGGCTGGTCTCAAACTCCTGATCTAGGTGATTCACCCACCTCGGCCTCCCAGTAGATTTCTTTATCATGTTATTTGTCAGTCCTAGGATTATTTCTCCTGATTGCATGAATATCCATTGCCTAGCTGCTTTGAACATTAGACATTGGATATTTGTTCAACATTTAAAATAATTGTTATCAATTATTGGGTGTATACCAGTTATTGTAGTGATTCCTTTATATAGATTGTTTCATTTAATCTTCACAATAATCTCATGACATGGCAACTATTATCACTCTCATTTTATTTTATGAAACAGAGAACTGAATTTAATGAAGATAAGGTAAATTATCTGAGGCTATATTGCTAATAAGTGGTTGATCTGGGATTTGAATTCAGGCATTCTGATTATAGAATGGGCATTCATAACTATAGTGCTTTGAATGACCCAATCAATGGGTAAATAAATAAGCCAACCAGCAAACCAAAGGATCATTATGTCCCTACTTGCCAGAGCTTTGGCTGCATATACTTACCCATCATCTATTTTTACCAGAACAAAAAGTCATTTTGTTTATCCCAAATGACAATTCAAAGAATTTAAGGTAGGCTCCTGAAGTGCTTCCCAATATATAGTGCTGGAGTGAGCCCTTTAGCATCAGCCAGATCTTTTAGGTTCTGGGTTATTCTTTCTAGGGTACCATGAAAGTGTTCTCTAGTTTGTTGGATTTTGAATGATGGACTATTTCGGTGAAGTACCTGACTCCCAAAGATCCCAAACACTGCAGGTTCTCAGAGAGGAAATTAGAACCTCCATCTTTGAGAATATGTGTATCCATTCTTGCCCTCTTTAATATATTTTTAGCAGTACATCCCAGGGATATATTTAAAATATAAAGTTATCCATGTTACTTCCGTGTCTAAAAGCCTCCAGTGGAATTTCTAATTTGAGATAATGAACTAAACATAAGTTTACCTTCCCTCCCTCCCCAGGCCCCACTGAAATTGAAGTCAAGAAATGCAAAAAGGAATTGACACATCTCAGCAAAGAAAACTGAAGGGATTTGGTTATAAGTGGAGAAGATCTCAGCACATTTCTTTAAGAGAGAAAGTGGATGAAGCATGATAATGAAAGAGTGAAGAACCTTTCAGATAAAATATAAGCTGATCTGAACAACATAACCCCAAAGAGACTTGAGCACCTGAAAAGTTTGTCTACTGAAGAATTACTCCGGTTGTAAAATTGAGCCCTCTCCTACTCTTCCCCAACTCTTATGCACAGAACACAGGCAGTCTCCACTATTGATACCCGTTAAAAATGTCTTGTTATTGTTGCTGTTGTTTGTATAAAGGAATTGAACAGACTGCCTGCAGAGATATAAGAGTTGGTGCTCCAGAAAAAAATTTCTCTTCTAGTGGAAATAAGTGCCCCCAGCCAGTAGCTGATTCTCTACTGACAGCTGAGACCTCCTACTCAAGTGCCTGTTGCCTTCAGGTATAGAAGAGATTTGCTGAAGAAACAGACCTAACCGTACAACAGCAGAGGAAACCCATGCTGACTGTTATAGAAGTTAACAGTTATGTTGATTCTTAAATGGTAATAGTGAGTTAGAAATTCCCAGACATGGGTGATGGGGAGGGAAGAGGAATAAGAAAAGTCACCAGGTAGAATTAGGGGCCTTGAAGATATGACAAACTCTGAGGGAAACAAAGACAATGTAGAAAGA